AAAAAAAATAGTCATCATAGATACTCTCTTTGGGAACAAAGGAGGCAGTGCAGAGGACAGGTATGGAGTGGAGGTATTCTGATGTGCTGAGTACATCTACTCAGTGTGTTGGGATGATTTTCTGGGAAACCACTGAAACTGGACAAAGAATTAAGAAGACAGCATACACACAATTAATTCTGTGCAATGTTAAAGAGTAATGACTAATTCTCAAAATATGGCATAACATGGCTGAGCCTGGGGAATATTACTCTTAAAGTCAAAGTCTGTTAGACATTAAAGGACAAATATTGTATGAAGGTGCTCTGCTGGTGTGGTCTGCAGGAAGTTGCCATACTAACTCATAACCTCTCTGGTAGTTCGAACCCACCAGCTGCTCTACAGGAGGAAGATGGGCAATTACCTTCTATACAGTTTTTAGTTCCAAAAAGTGGCTGAAGCAGGTTTATGAATGTTTTGACTTGATGATGATGAATTTGAGTTTCCATCTTGAAATGCAATGCTGTGAGTGACAGGATACATATACAAGGAAGACCTGTTAATACCACTATTATTTAAAGATATGCACCAATAACCAGAGCCAAAGAGGAGGCAATAGATGACTTTTACCAGCTTTTGCAGTCAGAAATTGACTGAACATGCAACCAAGATTCATTAATAATAACGAGTGCAAAAGTTGGGAAACGGAAAGAAGGATCAGAGTCGGAGAACATCGATTTATGACAGAAATGAGGCTGAAGAAACAATGATAGAATTTTGTACAAATCATGATTTATTCATTGAAAATACCTTTTATAAGAAGCATAACAAATCTGAATCCTCTCCTGTGCCATCCTCATAATTTATTACATACTTAATCCCACTGCTGTATGTGTCAGTCCGTCTTGTCAAGTGTCTTCTTCTTTTATGGTGAACCAAGCATGATATTTTCTCCAAGGAATAGCCTCTCCCACCAGTATGTCCAAAATATATGAGATAAAGCTTCACTGTCTTTGCCTCCAAGGGAACACTCTGGTTTCACTTCCTCCAAGACATATGTTTTTGTTCTTATTTTTGTTGTTGTTTTGTCTTTTTCTCTTAATTTAATACTAGTTCACTTACAAAGTTCATATATTTTGGTAGTCCATGGGATAGTTGGGACTCTTTTCCAACATTACAACTCAAAGACAGTGATTCTTCTGTCATCTTTATACATTGCCCAGTTCTCAGATGCACAGTAGATTATTGGAAAGACTATGGCTTGAATCAGCTGCACCTTCGTCTGTAGACTGACATCATTGCTCTTCAGGACTTTGGAGTGGTCCCTGACAGCAGACTTTCCAAAGCTGTCTGTCTGCAGGTCTCCTGACTGCTGATACCAAGGGTTTTGTTGGGTACCTGGATCCAACCAAGATGAATAATTGACAAATTTAATCTTTTCTCCATCTATCATTAGGTTGCCCATTGGCCCAGTGGTGAGGATTTTCTTTTCTTGATGTTGAGACACAATTTATATTGAAAATGGTGGTCCTTGACTTTCTCATCTTTATCAGGTCTTTGATTAAATGTCACTTTCTCAGTGAGGCAACTCTTTACCACTCTATTGTGTTCTGCTTTACTCATCCTTGTATCTTACCTTCTAAGATAATGTTGTTGTTGTTATGTACTGTTGAGTCACCTGCAACTCATAGCGACCCTATGTACAACAGCACTAAACTCTGCCCTATCCTGTGCCAATCTCACCATCTCTGATACACCTACCCCCATTACTCTAGTCCCTGAACAAATCCATCTCAAAGAGGGTCTTCCTCTCCTGCACTGTCCCTCCAGCCTCCCAAGTATGACATCCCTCTCCAAGGACTGATCCCACCTTGCAATGTGTCCAAAGTATGTCAGATGAAGCTTCAGAATCCTTGCCTCCAAAGAGCAGCCTGGTTTCACCCACCCTCTCCAGGATGAACTTGTTTGTTCTCCTAGCAGTCTATGGTATGTATATTCAATACTTTTCTCCAGCACCACAGCTAAAGGCATCAGTTCTCCTTCTATCATCCTTAGTCATTGTCCAGCTCTCTGATGCACAACAAGTAATAGCAAAGACCATGGCCTGGATCAGCTGAACCTTAGTCTCCAGACTGACATCGTTGCTCTTCAGTACTTTGGTGAGATCTCTGAGAGCAGACTTTCCCCAATACAATTTGTCTTTTAATTTCCTAGTTGCTGGTACCAAGTGTGTTGACTGTAGAGCCAAGCAAATTGAAGCTGTGAACAATCTCAATTTCTTCACCATCTATCATGATGCTGCCAATCAGCCCAGTGGTGAGAATCTTTGTCTTCTTGATATTGAGCCTCAATCCAAGTGCTTTAGGTCCTCCTCAGTTTCTGCAATCAGGGTTGTGTCATCTGTATAACATGGATTATTGATGTGTCTAACTCCAATCCTGATGCCACACTTCTCCTAATAGAGCCCAGCCTCCCGGATAATCTGTTCTGCATAAAGATTGAAAAGATATGGAGATAGGACACATCCTTGATGCACACCCTTCCAAATTCTGAACCATGCAGTGTTTCCTTGCTCTGTTCTGACAACTGCCTCCTGGTCCAAGCATAATCAAGTGTTCTGGGATTCCCTTTCTTCTCAAAGTCAGGCACAGTTTATTGTGATGCACACAGTCAAACTCCTTTGCATAGTCAATGAAACACAGATAGACATTTCTCTGGTACTCTCTGCTTTCAGCCAAGATCCATCTAGGTAACTTAATTATTTACTGTCTGCCACTGCCAGGAAATAGACATTTTCTGAAAAGGTAGTATTAAATTTTATTTGGTAGCTATTTGGTGGATAGAAAAAAAATTAGGTTGTTGTTGTTAGACACTGTTGAGTCAAATATGGCCCATAGCAACCCTATGAGCTAAAGATCTGAACTCTGGCCTATCCTGTGCTATCCTCACACTTCCTGACACACTAAAGCCAACTGCTGCAGTCACCGTGTCAATCCGTCTGGTTGAGGGTGTTCCTCTCTTTTGCCAACCTTCCACCTTTCCAAGCATGATGTTCTTCTTAACAATATATCCAAAGTAGATGAGTCTGAGACAGTAAGCTCAGGATAGAGCAGGGTTCAGAGCTATTGTACATAGGGTGTCTATGTGACTCAATGGCACATAACAACAACAACAACATTAAATATTATTGTTGTTAGATGCTGTTGTTTTTGCTCCTATGTACAACAGAATGTAAATCTGCCCAATCCTGTGTTATCCTCACAATCTCCTTTATATTGGTACAGATCAAAATTATTTAGACCTTCAGAATTCACTAATTATCTTTTGGTCTGTCCTCTTGGTTTCTAATTGTATTTCTGCGGGATTCTAGCCAGTGGTAGTTTTCCTTAGTACTATCTTAGAATACTAGCCATGGACAGAACTTTTGTGTAATTGGCTGCTCAAGGATCTTTGGATGCTCCGTGCAGTAGGTTTGCATGACTAACTCCACACACAGAGTATCTTTCATGTCTTGAATCAAATGCTATCTTCTAAGAAGATATCTCTCAGCCTTCTTTCTTTCTGTTAAAAAACCTCCAAAACACAAAATCTGTTCATTGTCCTAATTCTTCTTGTGCCACTCCCATCACTGCCCAAAACTCCCATTCCCTTATTTCTGTATTGGAAATTTGCATGTTTAGTTTTCAAAACAAAAAGTAAAAAACAAACAAAAAGCAAACTTTGTAACAAAGAATTATTGGCCCCAAGTGTTAACAGTACCAAGGTTAAGAAACAGACTTACATGGTTCAATATATAATTCATCTGAAAACAAAACCAACCAACCAAATAAAAAAATCCCACCATTGCAGCGTGGATTCCAACTCATAGCAACCATATAGACTTAGAGGTCTCGTTTAAACCTTTGCATCTGTGGTGCTGTTACACAGTAAGAGCTCCTCACCTGTCCTCCAGCCTCCCAGCTCTGTCTCTATGAAAACATGGGTTTTCATTCTGGATCACACATAACCCTTGCCTTTTCCATCTAAATTGGGGCACGGTACCTGCTGCTCATGGAGAACCACTTGACCTTTGAAGGGATTTCCGAGGGGTGCCGCCGTCACAAATGGCTGCCACACACCACTGGACGTTCTTGGGAAGATGTCGTAAAGGTCCACAAAGTGGGCACTTTTCCCAGTCATATCCATGAAGTGTAAGGTAACAGGGTTGCAGGTAATGACATACAGTGTCGTTTCCTCATTTTCTGAAATGACAAAGAGGTGTTAGTTTCCTGGTAGGTGACCGGTATCCTCATGAGTCAAGACATTGAGTGTCAATTGAATTATGAGGCTGAACACGACGCTGAAACTCATGATAATCTGGAGATGGAATCACCAAGCTAAAGAAGTCAAGAGGCCAATGAGTTTCTACCTTAAATGTAGCCAAGGCTATATATATCTATTCTAGGTAAGTATCTATTTGTTACAAAGAAATTCCATAAAGTCTCACAACAACACTACTCAATATTTAGTAATCCTCAGTGTCAGGAAATTACAGAAGTGCTTTACACTAAAAAGTCTATTTTTTTCCCTTTTGTAGCTTGTTCAGAGAGACATCAGTTAGTCAATAACTTCTACATACTAATCACTCATTTTCTAGATAGCTAGCAGATCTTCAGACTGTCTTGCTATAAATAACTCCACTTTCTAGATTAGATTTAAATTGGGTTTTTGTTCATAGTTGGGGGTTTATCATACAATCTGCCTTTTTGATCTGAAGATTTGCCTACGTGCAAGGTTTTATATTCTGTATTTACATTTTCGGGTACATAAGAATCACTTGGGGATCCAGCAACAACTGAAAAATGCGGATTCTTACTCAAATGGTTTGGGCTGGGGTCTCAGTCACATTTGCAACAAGCAAATTCCCAGCAGATGGTGATCTGAGGTCTCATTTTTTGAGAGCAAGAAGCAAGGCTCCAGACTATGTGTCCCATCATGTTTATATGTAAACACTTTAAGGCAAAGTTCTAAGTAGCTTTTGTATCATAAATGCTGTCAGTGGAAATAAGAAATTTTAACATAGGCGTGAAGTGGTTTGACCACAATAAATAATAAAGACATATTTATTTTTATATCTACTCTACATATACTGTCAATTATTATTCACAATGGCTCAATGTTTCTCAGAGTAGAACAGTTCTCTGTATAGTTTTAAACGACTTTTTGGAAGTAGATCACCAGGTTTTACCTCTGAGGTGCCTCTGTGAGATGGACACAAACCTTTACTGGCCCAGGGTTAGTGGTTTGCCCCACCCAAGGACTACTGGTGATAATTGTGCCACAAGAGATGCAGAACTGTGTGTGTGTGTGTGAGTGTGTGTGTGTGTGTGAGTGTGTGTGTGTGTGTGTGCACGCGCGTGCGTGCACGCGCATGCTCCTAATTCCAATCCAAGAAATTGTTATTTTCTTACATAAGTGCAAAGAATAATTTTTTTTAAAAAAAGGAAAAAACCTTGCAAATGTAGCCAGTACTGAAACTGAGGATTAAATTTATATAAAGAATAGCAAATGAGTTCATATTTAAGTCCTTACTCTGACTGACTGGCAGCTACTGTCTGGAATGTGTGTTGAGGAGAATTTGAGACTGTGACCAGCTTTAATGAGAAAAGTGCTGCAACTAATTAGCAATGCCTGTCATACGCATGGGGCAAAGGATGAAAATATACTTATTCTGTTGCACCGGGTGCCATTAAGTCGATTCTGACTCACAGCAAATCCACGTGACAGATTATAAATAGGTTTTCTAGGCTGGAATTTTTATAGAATCAGATTGCAAGGTATTTCACACTTATTTGCAATTCTACTTCTTAACTTTAGCACTATTGACTGTTGTGGCCAATAGTTCTTTGTCACAAAGATTGTTGGTTCTTTTTTTTCCCCCCAAAGCTTGTTTTGTTTTTTTTTTTTTAAATTGATTTTCTAGACAAGGAAGCTCTGGTGACCTACTGGCAAAGCCAAGGGAGCTCTGGTGGTCAAGTGGCAAGAAGTCGCACTGCCAACCCAGAGGCACTTGGTTCAAATCCACAAGCTGGTGCTCAGGGGAAAGATGGGTGATCTCCTGCCATTTGATTTCACTGGTGAGGGTCAGCTACCACTCCATCCTGATTCAATGGCACAAAACACTACCATCACCACAACAATTATTAGACAAGGACTAAAGTTCATATTTTATCCTGAAAATCATATGTTCTGTCTACCAGTAAAAGTATATTTTAAAAAGAAGATGAATAATTAGAGAAAAAGATGTAACTCTTGTTAAAGCATACATTTCTACTCAAAACTGACAATTTAGGAAAATAAACAATATTCAGAGAACTTCTAGGAACAAAAGTTAGCTACTAATTTTTGCCTAAATAATCCTCCTCTTGGCTCCATTACTAGTCCCTTCCCCCATACCATACAACTCTTGTTTATATCACCTTGGTTACTGACAAGACCTGAGGAACTTCCACCAAAAGCCATCCAGGGCACCCTGCATGAATCAGTGGGCGGTGGTAAGAGTTCAGAGACTGAGATGCCAAGAAATTGCACACCCTCTATTTGCATTCTTTACAATGAGAAGTTTTAGTGACTGTGAATCATCACAGCCCGGCAATCACCACTCGAGAATCCCGGAAAAAAAAATCCAACGTTTCTACTTTTTCTTTCCCCTTTCTATTTTTAACACGCGTCTGGGTGTGTTTAACTTTTGCTATGATAGTAATGAGAAACAGACATATGCATACAAACGTAGCAGTGCTGATGTGGACTCTGCAATGGCATTTAGTGTTTAGTTGTTACAGGAAATTAGTTCCAAATTACATATAATTGCTAACCAATCCAAGAAGGGAACAATCTATGATAGAGTTCTTGATGTTAGAGATTATTTTAACCTCTGTTTAAAAGAAACGGGGGGAAATCCTTAAAAAATTTATGCAGGAAAGAAAAATCAAAAGCATACGCTGACATACCCTGTAAGGTAGCAATGTCACAAACCAAGTTAACTTCATCCAGCGGTAGCTTCCAGGAAGCATATTCTTCAGTAAATGTGAGAGTTCTTTCTTCACGTCTTTCTACCGGGTATTCCTGTACATTTATCAGCACTGGGCCCTACAAGAAAGCAGTTATAGGAGTTTAAAAAAATGGAGTAGCCACCAAAACAGAGCAAAGTTGAAGTCCTCCAAAATGTGGAATTTGAACCCACGCCATCAATATGCTGATACATCCCTTCTCATTTCATATTCTGGCTGTTAACTTACAACAATAATACCATAAACTTGTGCTTATAAATGTTTGCATATGTACTATCTTATTTAATGCTTCACTTTCTTTTCTTCTTACTCAATGAAACAGATGTGAAATCCCATTACTTCATTCCTTCCTAAATCAAGAGCCAATTTTGAACTCCAGTTACCAAGATTTAGAGCTGTCCAAACCAGGAGAATAATTTATTTTTTTTAAAAATCCACAAAAACAAACCCCAAGGCCTGATGTTTTATTACATTGGGAAGGATGTTTCTCATCCTTAATAAGGCTAAAAAACTGTGTTACTCTATAGAAATGTAATGGCTAAAAAAAAAAAATAAAAGAAATGTAGTGGCTGAAATGAGATGTGAAAAATGCAACATTTTAGATTTTGGAAAAGAAATTACTTTTGCTTCTAAAAAGTAAGATACTGGCCACATGAGGATAATTGTCTTGGGGTTAACTTGCTACAGACTATGCCTCAGAGCTTCCTCTAGAGAGTATATTTTGAGTCAATCTTTTTTGTTTTTAGTTCATCTCTTTTGAAATACAAAAACTGAGCAAATAAAAGAAGTAGTGAGGGGGACAATGGGGGGTGGGGAGTGGGGGGAGGTTGATGCTAAAAGGCAGGGAGCTCTCCAAGGAAGAAGGAATCAGGCTGAAAAGATGGTACTTGGAGCAGACACAGAGAAAGCCCTTCCCTGAGCTGGCGCCCCGCGTTCTGATTTCCCAGCCTCCTACACGAGGAGAAAACAAACTTCTGTCAAAGCCATACATTTGTAGTATTTCTGCTATAGCAGACCTGCTAACTATGAGACTTTTTAATCTAGAATGTATCTCGGGGACTGAGCGATTGCAAATGACATTTTTTCACCTTCCCCACGGCATGTGACATAGATTGTGCCAGTGAACTTGCACGGAGTTTGGAAGGCAGAACAGTGGCCGTCATAGCAGAGGAGTATGCTCTGACAAATTCAAGCTGTCAGACTCTGTTTACCACAGGGGGTGGCAAACTATTGTCTGTGGGGTGGACCTGGCCCACTGTCTGATTTTGTAAATAGCATTTGGTGGCAGCACGACCATATTCCTTAGTTTAGGAATAATCTGCGACTCCTCTCTTTAGGGAGCTCTGGTAGCTCAGTGGTAAGAAATTGCGCTGCCATTGCTAAGGCCCATGGTACAAACCCACCAGCTGCTCTGAGGGAGAAGGTTGGGCAATCTCTTGTGTGATTTACTGCCTCTGAAAACCCACTGGAGGGTCAGCTATGGGTAAGTTCTGACTCAACAGCACACAATACTAACAACCTTTTTCTTTACAATAGCACAGTTGAGTAGTTGTAGCAGAATCGGAACAGCCACAATACCTAAAACATTTACTGTCTGTCCCTTAAAGAAAACATTTGTCACCCCTGCTCTTTCACACATTTCAAGAAGTATAGGTGGTGGCACTGATCTTGAAATTAAGAGTCAGTGGCAGCCCTTTGACTTCTATACCTTCTACCCTTCCTAACAGCTACAGTATATTGCAACGAGTGACTGAAACTCCTTTCCTCTAACTTTTGCATAAAGACAGCCTAGCAGCAATGCATACCTTAAAATTCAGAGTACATTTAAATCTTATTAGCAATTACATCCAAGAAAACAAGTGTATGAAGTAACATGATATTCACAACATATGTAACTCAGTTATGAGTTAGTTTGACTCAACAATCCATTACAACAGCAACCTACAATACAGATCAGGTCAACAGAATTGCCCACACTGAGTCCCTCAGAGAAAATGGATTGAGAGGGCAGAAGCTAAATATTTCTTGTAATAATATGACATGCCATTCTTGAGACTGTATAGGCTTTCCCCAGGGAAGATACAGGAACATTTTAAACATTTAATGAAGAAATAATAAAAATACCAACCTTTATGTCTATATGATGAGTTTCTGCTGGGCACAAAAGTTTTTGCATCCCATTTCTTGACTGGCCAATTGTCCAATAGCCCATGAATGTCTGTTCCGGCAGAGGCAATCTGTCAAGAATAATCAGAATAATTAAAATTTCTTCTTGTTTGCAAGACACGAGAAAGCATAATGAGCTCTGTTACCAACCATTCACATAAACTGGAAAGACACTCTACTTAGAAGTGAATTATACTTCACTTTTCTGAAAGAGACTTGAAAGCAGCAATGAGAAAAGATATACAGAAACATCAATGGCTGTCTCCAGACTAGGAGCGTTTGACTTGGACAATTCCTCCTTGCCCTTTTAAATGAATGGTGTTGTTCCTTCTCCCTCTGCAAATCTTCTCTCTTAGAGCAGCTGGGAGTTTGAACTGTTGGCCTTTTGAGTTAACCCACCATGCCACCAGGGTCAATAGGACACAGTGAAAAACAAGTTGCTGTAGAGTTGGCTCTTCCTCATGGAAATTCCAGGAATGTCAGAGTAGAATTATGTTTCAAAGAGTTTCCAAGAGCTGTGACTATTAAGAGGTAGATCACTAAGCCATCCTTCCGAGGTACCTCCGAGGGGACTGGAACTGCCAGCCTTTCAGTCGTAGCTGAAGGATTAACCATGTACACTGTCCAAGGCCTCCCGATATACAGTACAATTAAATCACATTTCTAAACTGTATAGAGCAAGTTTCATAGACTGTATTCTATCACCTTAAAATTATAGTTTTAATTGAGATGTAATATGCATACAAAAACAATCACATAATGTGCTCTTTAACCTTGAGTGCTCCTGGATAATTAGTACCTAGAGAAGCAGCATCACCAGTACCCAGAAGCTCCTGTGACAACGTACATTTATGACCCTCACCCGAGGAATCCCACACTGACTTCTAATAGGTATGTTTGTGCCTACATCCTTTATTAAAGTGGCTTTTAAATGAAGCTGTTTTACAAAGCAAAAATGGCAATGCTAAAATATGAAGCCACATATTTTTGAGAGTAGAGATTTTACTTTTAAATCAAAAGATCCTTCTCTTCCTTAAATAAAAAAGTAACCACTGATTTATTCCTCAATATAATATATATTTATTTTGTGGTATGTTAAGGCATGCCATAACACCAAGTTAAAAGTTCTTTTAAAATGCATGAGGATACCAATTATTTCTTAAAAATCAGTTTGCTAATCATTAAAATAGTACATATTTACATTTAGAAATTATTTTAATTTCAATAAAGAGAATTGTTTGACACAGTATTTCCATATGCTATTAAAACTGTTAGGCTAAGGTGTTATTTTGTTGTTTTTTGTTTTTTTTTTCTACAATGAATCCAAATGATCTGTTGGAATATGTTTTTTCCTTTTTTTGTAATGGTAATAATTAATGAAAGGAAAGAAATAGAGAAATTGACACAAAAATTATTCCAATTACACGACACAATTCAAATGGAAAATGTGTGTTTGTATCATGAATACAGGAAAAGGAGCCCTGGTGGCACAGTGCAGAAGGTGTTGGTCTGTGAATGAAAGGGTCGGCAGTCTGAAGGCTCATCCACACCAAGGGAGGACGAAGACATATTTCCTCCTACTTAGATATACCGTCTTGGGAACCTAACGGAGGATCATCACGAATTGGATAGAGGGGATACAAGTGGGTGTGGTTCAGATAATTATCCTCACTAGGCATCCACTTGGGGAGCTCTGGTGGCCTAGTGTCTAAGAAGCTACACTGCAATCGTAAAGCTATGTGGTTCAAATGCACCAAGTGCTCATTGAGAGAAGGATGGGCAATCTCTTCCCATATGATTTACTGCCTCTGAAAACCTGCTGGAGGGTCAGCTATGAGTTAGTTCTGATTCAATGGCACAGAACACCAACAATAATAGTTACCCACTTACTTCCACCTTTTTTTACTGAAAACAGGGGCCAGAGTAAAAGGATGTTTGCCAGTATCGTGTTTTCTCCTCTGAATGTACTAAAAACATACAGGCATGCATCACTTAGCCTCAGTTAGGTAATGTCTGGTGGCCTGGTGGCAAGAAGCTTGACTGCAATTCTGAAGGCACATGGTTCAAGGCCACCAGTTGCTCCTCAGGAGAAGGCTGGGCAATCTCCTCCCGTGAGATGACCTGCCTCTGAAAACTCACTGGAGGGCCAGTGTATGTCAGTTCAACTCTACTGTACACAACAATCGTATGTATGTATGTATGTATGTATGTATGTATATATGTATGTGACATATGTTGCCAATTTTCTTCCTTCCTTCCTTCCTCCCTCCCTCCCTC